AAAATAAAAAAGTAAAGAAGGAGTCAAATTTGAAGTGTGAAAATAAGTTAATGGTAAAAAATAACTATAATACAATTTAAGGCAAAAGTAAATAAATAAAAGAGAAAAAAGAAAAAAATAGGAAGAAAATGAGAAAAAAGAAAAGGAGAAAAGAAAGAAAAAAAAAGGAAAAAAGAAAAGAATCATAGAAATAAAAAAGAATTGGAGAATAAAGAAAAAAATTTCCCACAAAAACTACTATGGGCAGGAAATGTAATTAGTTTATAGGTAGAAAAATAAATGGGTAGACAAGGGTAAATAGTTTTGTTTTTGTGGGTAACTGTGTCAAACTCCCTTGAATATGTGTAGAGTTCCTAAAATTTCACAACCAAAATTATTAACTTAAATCCATCCAGTTTAGAAGTCTTAGAAGTTATATTTTATAACGTGAGGTCCCATGGAAGGCAAGGAATATCTGGCATGATCAATGGATCACCCCCCATTTCTTATTGAGGCAACTTATTCAAGGCCCACTACTTTGCCATGAACCCTCACTCTCCCTAAGCCATATATTTTCACCTCCAACCTTCAACCTCACCTCACTCTCCTTTGACTTTCCGCCCCACATACAATTACTCATCTCTAACACTATTCCTAACCTTGACACTAATGCTGAAGATTCCCCCCACTGGCACCTCACTGTTTAACCAAAAAATAAATTTTTTGTCAAAGCTAGAAATTAGAAGAATCGGGTTACTGATAATCGAAAAAGTAAATAAAGAAAGAAATTTTAGAATAGCCAAGTATGAAAGCTGGTAAATCAAAGTATATTCCAATAGTCACTTCCCCTACAATTGTTTGTTTCTTCCCTTTTTATAGCTCTTTTGGGATACGAGCCTTACCTTTGTCATAATAATGCTATTATGAGCAATTAATGACTTTAAATGTTACGTTATACAATCATATACATTAAATACATATTTTCTAACGTTTCCAATAATTAATACTCATTAAATGCTGTATCTGGGCTCCTTTTTGCTGTCAGATTCATTCCTTCGATTCTTCACTATCTTTGAGTTTTAAATGTCTTGAATAGGTACGAGCGTTGAATTACTTGTATGACTGCTCGCACCCCCTCCATTTAATTTACTCGTATTTATTGTTGCTCGTATCTGTTAACCAACCTTATTTCTTTGACTGTTTGACCAGTCTATATGTCATGACACGTCGCCATATACATAAATATAATTTTTCCCAATACAGATAGTCCCCCCACTTTCCATTTATTCATCAGTTTGAATATTTGGGAAGTGGAATTCATTAATGGAGAATTTTTGTCACCATTAATGCTCTGACAGAGTTTGACGCTTCACTTATTACTTTCATTTAATGCGCTAGACACGTGTCATCCTCTTATTGGTCATACAATTGTACATCACTTTCTTAGGCTTTCTTTTCGGCTTCCCTGTCCACGAAGTGTTAGTTATCATTATTATGGACTTTCCATCACTATACTCTTTTCTTCTGACAGTCATTCATTAGTATAAATGTAACTTCCATCTTTGTCTTCTACCATTTAAAGCGTATTGAACACTTTAAATTTTTCAAAACTTTTATTCACTTCTTCTTCACTTCAATCTTCTTTGTCATGGCTTCTCCGAACCCTAACCCTAGAAGAACTCCTATTTTAGACAGCTTTCCCAATGCTCCCGTTAGGCATAGAAGAGGTGGTGGTGGTAGACTCCGTAGTTTAGGATCTGTCCGTGGTGGTAGTTCACTCACACCTTCTTCTAGTTTCTGCCCTTCTTCTAGAACTGGAGGTTCTCATTCTCAAAGGTTTTCTTCCAGAAATAAAGAATCCTCTGAACCCTTACGTGAACCTTTAGTGGCAGAAATAGTTCCAACGAACTTATCTTTTTACCATGACTGGGAATCCCTCAGAACTCAAGTAGCCTTTTTGAATCGAGTTGATACTTTTCCTTCTCAAATTACTGACCCTTTAATCCCCATAGTTCGTAGAGATTGTCATTGGAGTGATGATTTCCCTATCATCATTCCTAATCCAAATCAGGGAATCACCTCCTACATTACTGGATTTTCTTTTATTTATACGTATCCCTTTACTTTAGGATTTAAACCAGCTATTGATCCAGTTATTCTGGATTTTTGTCGCTTTTTTAATGTTAGCTTGGGTCAAATTGGCCCAATCGTTTGGAGGGCTGTCTCCTGCTTAAGGCACCTCACTAACTTGGCGGATGCCGAATTTACTTTTCCCCACCTAATTCATCTCTATCCCCCTAGGCTTTTTCGCAACGGCGTTTTTACCCTAGCAGCCAGGAGCAAGAGGGTTTTAGTGAGCCCCGAGGACGATAAAGACCGTGGCTGGTATGCTCGGTTTGTTGCTGCCCCCGCTGCTGGTTTAGTGGGTGAAAATAACGTTCCCTTCCCCGAGAAGTGGAACTTGCACGTAAGTGTTAAATCTTCCTCGTGCCTTTCCCTTTCAGGTTTTATCACCTTTTCTAATGTCGCTTCTTTTTCCTTTCTCAGCAACCACGGGCGTTGTGGAAACCGTGCCCAACTTCCGTGGTTGGGGAGGAAAATTATTGAAGGCCGCTCCAATGGAGGGTAGATCGTGGAAAAACCTTTCCAGCCGTTATGGTTGGAAAGTAAAAACTCATGGTAAGGTTTTCTATTTTTCCTTGTCTGTATCTAAATATCTTCTTTGTTCTAACTTTTATCCTTCTTTTTATCAGGATTTGTTATTCGTGGGGTCACCGCAGAGTCAATCATAGCTGCTCGTGACTCTTTGAGTACTCGCACCTCTTCAGCCCAAGATGTATTCTTGAGTTCTTCAAAAAGAAAAACTACTGAAACTGAAGAAGAAGACTCAGAGGAGGAAGATGAAGGTTCCCTGGTGATGAGGCCTCGAGCCCGGAGACGTATCGTCTCTGATGATGAGGCTGAAGTTTCCCCTCATCTATCTCCCTCCNGACAAAAATTCAAATCCACCATTGAAGGAGCTTGAAGCTTGAAACTCATAACTTGGTTTGTTTGAGTTTTTAATTGTTTTGATCCGATCCTATATGAGTTTGTTTGGAAAGTTGATTGGAGGTTGTAACTAATGTTTTAGTCAATTTGGTGAGATTTTGTAGTAGATTTTAGAAGTTTGGGTTGAAATATAGTTGAACAAGAGAAGAAGACGAATTTGTATTGTATACTCAAATAGTATACAAATATACCATTTTAGGATACAATTCATTCCAACTATATACCCTATTAGTATAGCTATATACTATATTGGTATCATATGTTAGTTGAATCATTTTATGGTTGTCTTAGCTGCATTTATTAGTACAATATTTGATTTTCTTTTAATAATAGTAATATAGTACAATATCTTGAAATACTTTATTATATTAATATGTGGTACAGTATTTTTTTATTTTTCTCTTTATGCATGTGTGTTATGTAATAGTAGTATAGTCAATAGTTGCCGGAAATTAACCAGTAAAACTGTATACCATGTTGGTATAATTATATACCATATTGGTATCATATTGTAGTTTGAACATTTTTTTGGTTGTCTTGGCTGCATTTTTAAGTGAATTCAATTCTGAAATTATTTATATGAACGTGATTTACAGTGCTGGAATTTTTTTTGTGCTGATGGATATAGATTAGGTAATAGTTTTTATAATTATAGGCAATTGTTGGAACGACCCATACAACTATATACCATGTTCGTATATGGAATGAGCAAGTTGCTTTGCGAATATTTAGCTTACAATGTGAGCATGTAATTTTCTCATACTTTTATTGTATCCTTTAATGTTTTGGTACAGTAGTATAGTCACAGATAGTTGTAGCAATATTCTAGAGCAATCATATACTCTGTTGGTATACTTGTATACCATATTGGTATCATATGGTACTACAAGTCTTTTTTGTTACTTACATTTTTATTGCATTTTTCAATATTTTATTATCATTTCTATTCTAACTAGTATATATGGAGATTTAGTGGCCGTAGATTATGTTTTCTTGTTCCATCACTGGTTAGTGTTACTGCTAATGGTAGAGTATGTACTGATATTTGTAGGGAAGGAGATCAAGATTTGCATGGCAATCACGTGAAATTAGAAAAGGAACAAGAAATAAAGAAAAAAAATAAAAATAAAAAAAGTAAAGAAGGAGTCAAATTTGAGTGTGAAATAAGTTATGGTAAAAATAATAATAATACAATTTAGGCAAAAGTAAATAAATAAAAGAGAAAAAAAGAAAAAAATAGGAAGAAAATGAGAAAAAAGAAAAGGAGAAAAGAAAGAAAAAAAGAAAAGAATCATAGAAATAAAAAAGAATTGGAGAATAAAGAAAAAAAATTTCCCACAAAAACTACTATGGGTAGGAAATGTAATTAGTTTATAGGTAGAAAAACAAATGGGTAGACAAGGTTAAATAATTTTGTTTTTGTGGGTAACTGTGTCAAACTCCCATTTTAAAAGCCTGGCCAAACAGGCTATTAATCTGAAATTAGTTGGTTGAGTGTTCTAACGAGTATGCGTTTTGTATATTTTTGGTATGCTCACAAATATTACATATTAATTTTGCAGCCAACAAACGCACACTTTGGGAAAATCCATGGAATGCTTCAAACATGTGTTATTATAATTATAATTTTTCATACGTTTGCCAAATATCTCTAGTTATAACAAGATTTGAATTTGTTGTACTTTAATTCACCTCCCTCTTTTGTTACTTGTGTACAAGACTTCCCTGAATTACGAAACTAAAATTACTAGAAAAGTACCACTATGCAATTATAAAGCATATTTAATATTAATATTAATGTAATCTTTTAAAGGGAAAAACAATTGAGCAGGGCATTTGCTTTTTCATACAAGTATTTTCAAATTCGAAATTTTTCCTAAAAGGCTAAAATATGTACTTTGACTGGCCAATTCCAGAAAGGCATTTTTTCCTGAATGGGACTTGCAAGTTGCTATTTGCGATTTGTAAGTCGCGTAGATTTAATGCGTCTTGTGTCATACAAACGGGTTTTGGCAAACAATTTTCCTCCACGATCAGAACCCTTCGCCGCCCCCTCCGATGTATTCCTCCGCCATTTTCGACGGCGAATGAAGTAATGCGGGCTCAAAGATAACCTATATTCAACCTTCAGTTCCTTCGCTGCTTCGCCCTACTCAAAATCTCTGATTGTTAGGTAATTTCCATAAACAATCCATTAATTCTAGGTATAGTTTTTTAATTTTGAGCATTGATATGTAACAAGGTTTCCCTTTTAAAAAATATATAGATTTTGCTCAATTTGAGTTTCGAAAGCTTCCATTTTTTTCTCTTTTCAAAATCCGAGCTCCCTTCTGTTGATTATGATCTTGTGGTGTTAATAGTTGTTTTGAATTTGCATTATCTTGTGGTTTTTGAGTTTGTATTTTGTTCAAAAAGTTAAATTTCCTCACTCGAATTAGCACTCTTTGTTTCTATAAACATTTCACATTTTTATGGCCCGTTTCATTTGGTCTTTGCTATCAAAAAATTGGCCTTTCAACTGTTTTGAATTTGGTCTCCTCGACCCATATATTCCCGCATTTCTCCGATTCACATGTCGCCTTATAGTACTCTTTGTGTAGCGCAGCTTTTGTCAAGAATGGAATATTGTGGCTGTCAATTGTCATTGGGTTTAGCACCAATGTTGGCAATTGAAAATTCATCAAATGTCTGTCCATGTGTTCCTGTTAGCAATTGAGTGAAACCCATTGAGAATTGATAAGTAAAGGAATATCAGCTGCCCTGTCATGAAATGACGAAGTGTCTGTAGCAAAAAAAATTTCCAGTGCATTAATCCTCAAGTTCACATAGTCACAATTTTAGTACAAATAGTCTTATACTCTATAGTACAAATATTCTCCGCATGTCAGGAATCTAACAAGATAAATCGCAAGTCTTGAATGTGTTTCAGTTAATCGCAATTTTCAACTGCACTTAGAGTACTAATATTCTCTGCTATATGGTTCGTCAGAATCTGGAAAGAGCAAAACACATTCACCAGCAAGACTTAAAAATTGCGAATTCTAATTGAGCTTCATAAGGTGCATTCCAGCATTGAGTTTTACAAAACTCATTTGAAGAATGCAATTTGTGCTAATGCCACTCCTTGACGGCTCTTTATGTCGGTTAACTTAGGATGCATGAAAGTCGCGTTCCATGTATGAGTTTTGCTTTGGTATTCTCACAAAAACTACATATTCCTGGAATTTTGCAGCCAACAAGCGCACACTTTGGGAAAAACATCCCTTCATTCTTTCCTCCAAGAAGATCCAAAGGGCTAAGGGGTTTTGGGGTGTAATTTTCTCCAGCTTGTTTTTGCAATCAACAATATGCCAATCAAATGGTAATGATTCTTGATTTTTACAAAAGAAGTAACATTTTCTATAGATTTTGGTGCATTTGCTTATATTTATGTGTACACTGTGTTACTTTGTCTGTCCCTAGGGTTTTACACTGGCAGCCAAATGCAGGCACAACAGTCAACACTCAAATACTAACAGAAGTATCTCAGTGTGTTGAGAGTATAAATGGCGTTAAAGAAGGAAGGTGGAAAGCTACTCTTAGCTTCTACAAACCCATGCTCCGAGGTATATCATTACATAATTAACCATGTAATCTATTTAATAAATACTAGTATTATCTTTGCATTTTTTGTTTACACCTGTGTTTTACAATATAGGGTGATTTTTTCCCTCTGAATTCATTAAAAAGATTGGTTTTTAAGCATATTTTGTTGATATCTGTGATTTACTATAAATGAGGGCTCCCCCCCCCCCCCCCCTACCACACACACACAATGATTGGATTTTTAGGTAGGTTTTTATCTTCAGTAAGGTAAATTATTTATAAGCAAAGTAGCTTTGGAAATTTTGGTCCGCATAGAGCAGAATGGTTATGAAGAATCTTTGCTTTTTTATATTTGCGATAAGGTAAAATTTTATTCATGTACCAACCTGTGATTTACTATAAAAGGGTGATTTTCCCCCTCTGGATGCATTAAAAAGTTTGGATTTATAGGTAGGTTTACTCTTCTGTAAGAAATTAATCGAAGTAGCATTGAATGATTTGGAGGAGATCTAGCTGACACTAACTGTCTAGTTAATTGACTGATGGATTGTTCCTCTTCTGTAAGGCAGCCTTTTGGAAGTGTGTTATACTCGCATAGGAGCATGGCTAAGAAGAATTTTACAAAGATAAAATGGGAGGGGGCAAGAGGATGTGAAGATTTACAGTGTAAAAAATTGAAAATGAAATGTTAGGGTGAGGATGTAAAGATTTATAGGGTAAAAGATTGAGAATGAAAATATAGGGCTCTCATTGTGCAGCCTTTGGTAAGGCTGAAAACTTGTACTTTGGGAAAAAAAGAGTGGTCCTTTTAGGCAATATATAACAGATGCACACAAGCATTGACATATATGTTAGCGATAAGTTTAAGCTATTGATTCTCAGGGTAGTTAGGCTTGATAGTGCATATATTGTGCACATGTGAACCTGCTTCAACCTTGCATATCATTTTCTTTTATAAACGAGAAATTTCCCGAGGGCAGTGGTGCATGGTTTGGAACTCGATGTATAATGGGCCCACCCCTCTACATTTTCCCACTTAAATACCTAGTTTTTTCCTGCGGCAGGCTTTGAATCCATGATGTATGTCTAACTTACACATCACATGTTGCCCTCCTCGTATCACTAGGCCAAATCCCCGGGGGCAACCTTGCTGTCATTTTTGTGAGTACTTTTGCACCTCTATAAGAGATTTGATTGTGGAGTGACTTCTTTTTCCTCTCTTAGTAGAACAAGCAAATGCATTGGAGTTTCCCCGTGATTTTTTGGGTATTTCGCTTCAAGAACAGCCCAACAAGTATTATTTTGTAATTAGAGGGCAACGGTTGATCTTGGAAGCAGAGTCATCAATTCAGACGATAATGGAGAAGTTGCAGTCTTACAAAACAAGGGTTGCACTTAATTTTGAGGTTTGTATTACGGATATTTGCAAATTGTTGTTCTTAGTGCAGGCCCCAGACCCCACTTGCGGGAATATATCGGGTATATGTTGTTGCTCTTACTGCAGGAGGATGATTAACTTATCTAGCCCATCCACAGGCTTGGCTTTGTAAATTTAAATGTCCCTAAGTGATATTATCCGCATATATTGTGCTTCAATTATTTGTGTAGATTGAAGAACTACCCCAATTTAATAAAATTATTTACCTAACTAAAGTGAAGGTTGAAGAACTTCACGATGATGGCTGAATACATATGTGGGCCCTTGAACTTGCCCTTAGACACCTGAACTATTCTCTCAGTGGCTTCTTTGCTGCGTCACCAGCATGTGAAACACACGTGTATTTTCTTGACTGTTTCAACACATCTGTGTCTAATAGGTACAGTTTGAATAGAGATAAAACGCTTAATAGGTCATGAGCTTATTAAGTGTCTAAATTTCAAATCCTGACAAGTTTAGGTGTCTATGTATTTAGCCTAACAAAGTTTAAAGAATTGTGTTATCCAGTTGGGTGGCCATTGGCCAGCTATACTATTTCAAACAGGACTCATTTTTGAACTAGCCAAGCTTGTATATGTTGCTGTTGACGGTTGTCTGTTCTCTATGGTGCTTCTTTGAAGATAATTTTCCGTACTTACTTTGATTTATCCTCCAGAATTCTAAAAATGGACTTACTTAGCACTACTTCATAATACTCATTAAAATATTTGACTTACGTAGGGGTTTCAATATCAACTTGGTGACTTCCAGCTGCGAGTGGGCAAAGTTGTTCCAATCCACTCTGAGAGCTTGAGGGGAATAGTTATGGAGGTATTAAATAGCTTTAGATATTTATTCTCTGTTGAATGCTTGTTATGTGGTTAAGCCTTCTCCGGAACATAGCTATGTAGGATTTCTGTGGTCTATTATGCTTGTTATTCTGCATGGAGAGGAATTGATTTATTGGCTTTCCTAAAATAATTACTACATGCTTGTTATGTGCTGTCCTTTACTTAATGCTAAAACATGGACACATAAACATATTTTCACTTGAGACTTCAATAGTGCTGGCTTATGGAGAGTGGAGACAGCCTCTCTACCTGTAGGGGTAAGGTCTGCGTACTATCTATCCTCCCCAGACCCCACTTGTAGGACTATACTGGGTTTGTTGTTGTTGTTACTTCAATAGTGCTGGCTGAAGGAGTTTGAGTCCTAATTTTTATCGCATTAAAAGTAAGTACAATGGAATGGATTGAATCAAGTCAATAGTTGTTGGTGTCTCTGGGGATACGTGATGCTGTGTGGGGACTATCTTGTTGATCTTATCTCTATTAAGGTTCTCGAAATGCTGATGTAAGATAATGACTATCTTATCTGTATGCACTGTTAGATGGATATCATTTGATGTTTGACAAAAAAAAAAAAAAGAAAAGGAAAGCTAGTCTGAGAAGATGGTCTACCTTATAGTACAAAGAAAGAAGGATGGTGAACTTTTCTGGGTGTATAATTTTAGGAACGGAAAAGGCCTAAAAATGCCACTCAACTTTCAGAAATGGTTTATCCATGCCATCCGTTAAAAAATTGCTATTTCCATGCCACTGCCGTTAAAGAAATGGCCCATCCATGCCATTATTGACTAACGGCTCAATTTTTATTTGGCCCATCCATGCCACTGCCGTTAGTCAATAATGGCATGGATGGGCCATTTCTTTAACGGCAGTGGCATGAAATGAGCATTTTTTTAACGGATGGCATAACCATTTCTGAAAGTTGAGTGACATTTTTAGGCCTTTTCTGTTTTAGGAACAGAACTTCATGTCACACTTCACTTTGAACCTGATTATTGATGAATTGGCTGCATGTACTTAAATAGTAAATGGATTCCAAATAGCCCACTAGTAGGTTGTCTCCGGTTGGTTCTATTTTAGGTAGAATTAGGAGATGAGGAAAGAGAAGATAAGGCAATGAATGTAGACATGAAGAATATTACTATAAATATCAAATATACAATGGACGTTCTTTTCTTTTCCTCTCCTCCCGTTATCTTCAGCATGATCTCCCCTCTGTCTTTCTTCTGATTGTAGCATGCGTAAAGCGGATGTTCTTAACTTTCCAGTGCTTTTCTCCGCCTTGTCTTTGCATTGCGACATTAGTTCATAAATTCCGAGCAGTTTTTATGTTATGAGCATGATGGCCTCACAAGTTGTTTTTTTCCTTTTCTTTTGTAGATGGAATATCTTCCAATTTCCTCATGGGAGAAATCACACCAGATTATGGGTGAATTCTTTGACATATGGCAGGAAGCTCTTGCGAAAAGATCATTACCAGGTCATTTCGTGCACATTGAACCGAATTTTTCAGAGTTTGGACTCTCTGATGAATATACTTCACAGCACACAGCTGTACAGTATGCTAGCATTATGGCTCAAATGATAGCTACAGCTCAATCAGCACAAGCTGTGAGAAATTAGGTTGTAGCATAAAATTCTGCTGACAATATAAGATTTTAGCCCTGTACCTGTTATATTCTCAATACAAAAAGATAAAGCAATGATTTTCCTTTAGCTTCAAACACTAGTTCATTATGATACTGCTACTACTGCCTTACATTGAAAACCGACTTTAAACACATAACTGATATCCAGGATTGTACCACAGATGGAAAGAAAATTTTTCAAACTCCATCACCATAGGCCTAATGTCACGCGGCGTCTTCCTAGAATATCTTGAAAAGGCGATATGATGTGAGGTACAGCAACCAAACTCAGTGATCATTTTTCATGCTTAATGTTTGTACCAAATTAATAAATATAACATGTTTGTATCAAACATCGGGTGTGAGTGAATAATTAGGGAGAAGAATCTCTTTAGCCAGGACACCTATTGATCATGTAAGAGCGTATTATTTTAAGAATGTCAACAATTTGTGTAACCGATACAATTAAGTTGAACGTTTGTGTTTGCCTTCGTGTAGGCTTGTACCTAGGTGTTAGACCTCCGTCAATTGAGCTCGACTTGACAACAAGAGTGTTGTCATGAGGCAGCAAGAGTGTTGCAAGATAGGTGCACGAGTAGCACCAAAGTCAAAAAGGGAAACGGGCAAGCGATGGCTAAGGCTTTGACGGAGGCGAGACAGCTTGGCAAGGGCTTGACAATGAGTTGCGGGCTAAGGGTGACACTTGATTATGGCAAAGGCATCAAGGCATGAGGCATTGAAGCCAAGGCAAGGCAAAAACGAATAGGCAAAGGCAAGCAAATGTGCAACGGGAAGGCAGTGCGCGGGCAGATTTGTCATGGCAATGAGTTGCGGCAAACGGGCCAAGTTCGTGGGTGATGGCAAGGCAAATTGTGGCACAATGCAGCTGGATACAATGGCATTGGAGCTGGTCCAAGCCAAGGCACGAAATTGGGGCAGCAAGTCTTGGATTGACAAAGTCAATGGCGGTTACCGGCACATGCTGTGCACATGGGCAGCAGTTGGAGCTTTGCTAAAATGCTGGCAGGAGTTAGCACGTTTTTGGGGGCCATGATCCCATTTACTTTAGCATGATTTACATGATCCTAGTAGTTGGGGTGTCAACTACACTAAACTAAAGTAGTGGGCTGAGTGGGCAAGTGTTAAAGCCTAAAATGGGGCAACTATTGTGTAAATGGGGCTGGTTCATGTTTTATAAATGGACTGCACCCATTCCCTTTGTGGCATAGAGTGAAAAAACGTGTAGAGTGCATGTTTAAGTTAGGAAGAGTCCTAAATCTGTTTTCAAGAGTGAAAACAACCTAAGGCTAAGAGTAGTCCTGTGAGGGTCAAGAGTGATCTTCATTTTGTACGCGGATGTACTTGAGTTTGAGTTTTCTTTGTATTCTCGAGTTAAATACAAAGTTGGGAAAAGAGTTCCCTGTATATTGTGCCTTTTGTTCACGTTTATTTTCTGTCCCTTCATTATATTTTCGTTGCCTAAAATCAGTATCTACTTACTACGTTGAAAAGCTGCCTAAATTAATCGAAGTCTAAAGTTGCTGAAATTTTGGCCGAGTGTTGGAGCAGGCTGAAGTCAAGTCGAGTCTTGGCTGCCGCGCGGGCTATTTCTGAGTGACATAAAACGCGCCCGTGACAACTGGTATCAGAGCGGAGCAGGTTCGTGGCGGAGACACGACGTGCAGTGGCAGATTTTGTGCTCTTGTTCGAGAACATGGCTGGTGGTAACAATGAACTGCGGGAAAGGCTAACAAAACTGGAAGCATTGGTGGGTTTTGTTCCTGAAGGTGAAGAACTTCAGTCTCTTGTGACAAGACTTGCATATCTTGAGGCAGAGATGGCAAGGCTTAGTCGAGAGAACGCAGATCTGAAGGCCGAGACAGTGGTGGTGCGACGTGCTGTGGGCGAAGATGCTCCTCAACGTGGTGCTGAACGTCTCAAAGTGAGAATTCCTGAACCTAAGGCATTCGGAGGTGCAAGGAGTGCACGTGAATTGGAGAATTTTCTTTGGGATATGGAGCAGTACTTTCATGCTATTCGTGTGCAAGACGAAGAGGAGAAAGTAACCTTGACTAGCATGTATTTGAGTGATGATGCTAAGTTATGGTGGCGCACTCGTGTGGCTGAAGATGAAAGTCTTGGTAGACTAAAGATTGAGTCGTGGGAGCGGCTTAAAAAGGAATTGAAGGATCAGTTCCTTCCTAGTAATACAGCTTGGATTGCTAGGGACAAACTGAAAAAGTTGAAACACACCGGATCAGTTAGAGCTTATGTGAAAGAGTTCACATCATTGATGCTGAGCATCAGCAACATGTCGGAAGAAGACAAGTTGCACAAATTCATGAGCGGGCTGCAACAATGGGCATAACTTGAGTTGCAAAGGCAGAATATTCAAAACCTCGCAAGTGTTGTGGCTGCGGCTGATGCATTGGGCGATATTCACATGAGTGATGAGATTTCTGCTTCAAAGTCCGACGACGGAAAGAAGGACAAGGCGAAGGAGTGGAAGAAATGTGAAAGTGGCAATGCACATGAAGATAAGGGGAAGGGAAAGCAAGAGGCTGGAACTTCAAAGAGCAAGGAGAAGGGCAGCAAATTCAGTGGTTGTTTCCTTTGTGATGGACCACATCGAGCGAGGGACTATCCGAACAAGGCAGTGTTAAATGCTATGACTGCCGTGGAGAAGAGGGCTGCATTGGAGGCGTTGAACAGTGATAAACAAGCTGTTGGCGTCAATGCAATTGTAGCTGAAGAGAGAGGAGGTCAAGGGGCATTGCTTGTCAACCCCTTGGGACTCATAAATTGAGTTGACCTCGACGAGGACGTCGAGTTTCAAAGGGTGTGGGTGGTTTGTTAGACCTCCGCCAATTGAGCTCGACTTGACAACAAGAGTGTTTTCATGAGGCATCAAGAGTGTTGCAAGATAGGTGCACGAGTAGCACCAAAGTCAAAAAGGGAAACGGGCAAGCGATGGCTAAGGCTTTGACGGAGGCGAGGCAGCTTGGCAAGGGCTTGACAATGAGTTGCGGGCTAAGGGTGACACTTGATTATGGCAAAGGCATCAAGACATGAGGCATTAAAGCCAAGGCAAGGCAAAAACAAATAGGCAAAGGCAAGCAAATGTGCAACGGGAAGGCAGTGCGCGGGCAGATTTGTCATGGCAATGAGTTGCGACAAACAGGCCAAGTTCGTGGGCGATGGCAAGGCAAATTGTGGCACAATGCAGCTGGATACAATGGCATTGGAGCTGGTCCAAGCCAAGGCGCGAAATTGGGGCAGCAAGTCTTGGATTGACAAAGTCAATGGCAGTTACCGGCACATGCTGTGCACATGGGCAGCAGTTGAAGCTTTGCTAAAATGCTGGCTGGAGTTAGCACGTTTTTGGGGGCCATGATCCCATTTACTTTAGCATAATTTACATGATCCTAGTAGTTGGGGGTGTCAACTACACTAAACTAAAGTAGTGGGCTGAGTGGGCAAGTGTTAAAGCCTAAAATGGGGCAACTATTGTGTAAATGGGGCTGGTTCATGTTTTATAAATGGACAGCACCCATTCCCTTTGTGGCATAGAGTGAAAAAACGTGTAGAGTGCATGTTTAAGTTAGGAAGAGTCCTAAATCTTTTTTCAAGAGTGAAAACAACCTAAGGCTAAGAGTAGTCTTGTGAGGGTCAAGAGTGATCTTCATTTTATACGCGGATGTACTTGAGTTTGAGTTTTCTTTGTATTCTCGAGTTAAATACAAAGTTGGAAAAAGAGTTTCCTGTATATTGTGTCTTTTGTTCACGTTTATTTTCTGTCCCTTCATTATATTTTCGTTGCCTAAAATCAGTATCTACTTACTACGTTGAAAAGCTGCCTAAATTAATCGAAGTCCAAAGTTGCTGAAATTTTGGCCGAGTGTTGGAGCAGGCTGAAGTCAAGTCGAGTCTTGGCTGCCGCGCGGGCTGTTTTTGAGTGACATAAAATGCGCCCGTGATACTAGGGATGGCAATAGGGTAGGATTGGGCGGCTAAAGCATTGACTTGCCACAAATTCAACGTGTCCCGTCCCGTTTAACAGTTTTTCTCTTTTTCAACCGGTCATGCCCCGCCCTATTTAGCTCCGTTCCGCTCCATTTGCCATCCCTTGTACTACAACAACAACAACAAACCCAGTGTAATCACACATAGTAGGGTCTGGGGAGGGTATTGTGTACGCAAACTTTATCCCTATCTCGTGGAGATAGAGAGACGGTTTCCAATAGACCTTCGGCTCAATGAAGCATAAGCACAACAATAATTAAAAGAAGACACTCAGATACAACAATGAGGAGCCATATAAAAGAAGCATTAAAATAGCAAGATGGTAAGATGGCCCTAAGGAAAGCAACAATAGGCAATAATAGAAACCTAAAACTAAAAACAATACGAGAGTATGTACTAGCGCTACTAGTAAGAACAAGAAAAAGCACTCGACTACCTAACCTTTTACCGTAATCCTTGACCTTCACACCTCCCTATCAAGGGTTATATTGGATATTGAAGCTTTGGAAACTAGATTTATCTATTGGATCTATCATTAAACGTTAAACCCTGCTACTACAAGCCTAATTGTTAATTAATTATTTTGAAGTCAAAATTTGACCTCGTTGATTTTTCGAGAAAATTTTGTAATGCATAAGTATATTTTTTTTTAAAAGATGTTATACTTGAAACATATCCTTTTTTATTTTCTCTTCTCCTTTATTTCTTCCCTCGAAATTCAAACTACAAGATCTGATTATCCAATTGTCAATTTTCATTCAGAAATTTACTTCTGACCTTTTTAAAATAAAATTGACGTACTTAGAAAATTTAATCCTCCTTTATTAATGAATAACAACATTTACACACTGAATTTTTGGCTTGTTTAATCCTTCAAGGTAAAATATTATCTTCTAATGGAAAAATTACATTAATCAAGAGAAATTAATGTGTAAACCATATACCACCCTGCGAAATCTGATCTTGCTACATTATCTAGGGACAAACATTTGCGCCTTTTCTGTTTCTATCTTCAATTCTGATTTGGTAAAATAATTCATTCCACAGTAATAAAAGGTATAATATTCAATATA